ATCAAAGGAACTTTAATCTCTTCACAGGCTGGTGGGTTCCGGCAGTTCGCTCGACACGCAATGACTCGCAGTGATACGGCGATACCCGCGTCTCTATTTGCAATTTGCAACGACACGCTATACTCGCAACTCTCGGAAGGTTCTCGCGAAACCTAAGCGACGACACACACTCGTCCCCGCTTGGTAACAATTCGCCCGCTCGCTTGTCGTCTCTACTTTGTAACGACTCGCGGGTTTTCTTAGGCTTACTCGCAACGCTCGCGGTCGACCGTCGAACCAGCTCGCCCGCGCCGCAGGTATTTCGAAATATACCGACACCCTACAGTAGGACCGTATATCTCACAGTTGATACTCACACTTGCCAGCCCACCCTAATGCCGTTTCAATTAGCGCACCATTTTCTGTACAATCTTCGTGGCACAGCCAACAGACGACGGGTGCTATCAGTTCAGGCTTCAATTGCTCGAAGAAATCTGCAAGATGTCAATCAATCTTCGAGTTTGCTCTTTTTCAGCAAGACAAATACAAACACTTTCCATAGGGTGAATTTTACTTATCAATTCCTTAAACATGAAGAGCAGGCTGTTCCAGCCTCTCGGTAAGTTAGCTAATAGTTAAATCGTATGTACGTCTCTGTTTTTCCTTTAAATTAAAAAAAAGATAGGCATAATGGAACTATTAGTTAGTTTACCAAGAGGTGGGAGAGAACCGGCCCCCAAGATTCGAGTGTTGCGATTAATAAAAATTCAAGGCGTGAAATTTCGCAGCCCCGGGGATTGTTACAGAAATACACCCCGCTGACGACTCACCCGGCGGAACGATATCTTCCGTTAAACGCGAGGCGGCCGTGGGTGCTATAACGTTGGTGTAAACGTTCTTCCTCGCGCCTTCAATGGCCAGTGTGTTGGCTAATCCTACGAGGCCCAGTTTCGCCGAGCTGTAATTCGCCTGGCCGAAGTTCCCGTACAGGCCGCTGTTGCTGGACGTGAAAATTACACGGCCGTACTTCTGCTTCATGAAGTACGGCCACGCCGCTCGCGTCGTTATCATCGCGCCTTTCAGATGGACATTGTGAATCATGTCTGAAAGAAATGCATCGAGGGGTAAACTGCTGGCCAAAATCACGTACGCCAATGCCTACTAATGTCCAGTGGGCATTGCTTTATCTTATTGTCTTATTTTATCTTTGTAATGCCCCAGCAAGACCCAGTGCCCAGATTAACTAATGCCCAAAAAAAGGCCTATTAGCGATGCCCAGTAATGCCGCAAATCTGTGGACACCACAATGCCCCTCAGTGGTTTGTCCCTCGAGACGCATGTAGATTCATACGGGGCGTAAAGATTCTAAAGATCGCTGCACAAACGAGGGGAAATTGTCGGCGTTGCGCTTCCTCTCGCGTACGTACCCCACTGCTCATCCGTCATCTTCGCGAACGACACGTCCCGCAGAATACCGGCATTATTGACGACCACGTCGACGCGGCCGAACGCGTCGATCGCGGTCTTAATAATCTTCCCACCGTCCAACACGGAGTCGTAATTCGCGACAGCTTTGCCACCTGAAACATTTGTTATTCGTTAGCTTATCGTCCGATTAGTCTCGACGCAACGGATACGGAGTTAGTTAAATGCAGGACAAACTTCAAACGTTATGCTAAGATTAAAGCAAGTCGCATCGCTGCCTTTAATTACTCAGATAAAATCCAGAGTCAAAAGTACGTTAAAGCGCAAGCAGAATTTCGAACGTCTCCTCAAAGCGGTGCACTGCAACGACAGGAATTTACGTGTTATCAACGAAGGGGGTTTCGCAAATCGATTCCCAAAGATACTTACCGTTCCGTCGGATCTCCTCGACCACAGCATCCGCGCTCTTGGTGCTGCTCCCATCCCCGTGTCTGCTGCCGCCCAAGTCGTTTACGACCACGCTGGCACCCCTGGACGCGAACAGCAGCGCATAGGTACGTCCCAAACCTGGAAATTATGCGCGCATTGCATATTATCTTAACAGCAATGCATGTAAGACAAGCAGAGAACATGTAGATAAGCAGAGTTACGTAAAAAGTTACACAAGTGGGTTACACATTGCTTTAGCATTTCTTGTCCTCCGCTGCAAAATCAATTTAAACAAAATTTCTTTTAATCGTACATTTTTGCTCGTTTCTTTCACGAGAAACAACTTTCCGTCAGTATAAAATGAAATCTTGTTCCCATTATGTTAAAAAAAAGATGCGTCGACTCCGTTCTCATTCGGTTTGTACTTGGCGTACGATAATAAAAATTAATTGTACAACGCGATCGGGCGATTCGATTCTGCTAGAAAGTGCTACGTGGCAAAAGAAATGCGGTACAAAGTGCGAGAGAGTATAGTAAATATTTAAAAAGTGAAAAGGGTATTTACCTGCGCCCGCTCCCGTCACCACAACCACTCGGTCGACGAAACGTAGTTCCTGCATGTTTATCGGGTCTTCGGGAGCAACTTGCAAGCCGTGCGAATCAATTTTCGCGCTTCCGACTGTCTCTAATTCGGCGCTTTCCGAACGGAAGAAACAACCCGCAATGATGTAGCAGAAATAAATTACTCGCGTTTAAAGTCCACCGTCCGAGTTTTTATTGACACACGTATACACACATTTAAAAGCCACATGCGCTATCTCTGCGGTACATCAAATCATATGGTAGGACGTGACAGAGAGGAACGCGATAACCAATCGTTCCTCCGCTCTTACGGGAAAGTGGTAAGCTGATTGGCCGTCGCGCGGCAGGCGTTTCCGCCTCCCGCGTGCAAGAGTGATTATGCTCGTATCACACGGGGGGGGGGGTCTGTTTGCGTCGCATTTCCCAACGTGCTCCTGTACGGGAATTCTGTAACTTGCAATCGATGCTTTTCGGTATCGTTAACAGTGAACTCTATACATACTGGAATGAGTGATCTATAGTTCTGGCTGTTGCCGAGAGAGAGGTGCATTGGGTGAATCCTTGTCTCCTCTTCTAGCACTACCTGATTGGATAATCGCATATAAGTGACGCCCTTCTTGTCGTCATTTATATGCAACTATCCAATCAGGTAGTACTAGAAGGAGACAAGGATTCACCCAAACACACCTCTCTCTCGGCAACAGCCAGAACAATAGATCACTCATTCCAGTATGTATAGAGTTCACTGATCGTTAACTAGCGACAGCCAAGGCGAGGACAATCTTTGAAAAAGACGCAGATTTTCAGTAGCGCTGATGCAGGATTCCCATTGAATCCGATATCCGACGTATGACGTTCGTTATCTAGTATGATTGGTTTTTACTTTTGGTTCCTTGTTGGACCTAAAAGAATAAATGCGTTTGTATTTATATTTTAAACGCATTTGCCACAACCGGATTTTATTTAGTCCCAGTCTACAATAGAGATTTAAACCCTAAGCCTTAAGAAATTGACTAATCACAGTCGCGCATTCTTCTCATACTTGACCGTGAGTCCCAGTCTACAATAGAGATTTAAGCCCTAAGCCTTAAGAAATTGACTAATCACAGTCGCGCATTCTACTCATACTTGACCGTGATTGGCCAATTTCTTAAAGCTTAGGGCTTAAATCATCTATTGTAGACTGGGACTTACTATTTAGTCCCAGTCTACAATGGGCGATTTAAGCTCTAAGTCCCAGTCTACAATAGAGATTTAAGCCCTAAGCCTTAAGAAATTGACTAATCACAGTCGCGCATTCTACTCATACTTGACCGTGATTGGCCAATTTCTTAAAGCTTAGGGCTTAAATCATCTATTGTAGACTGGGACTTATGCGTGGTCTACAATGCGAGTCGCAGAGTTGTAGTCGTAAGAATAATCGACTGCGATTGGTCAATTTCGTCAGACACATAAGTCCCAGTCTACAATAGATGATTTAAGCCCTAAGCCTTAAGAAATTGACCAATCACAGTCGCGTATTCTACTCATACTTGACAGTGATTGGTCAATTTTTTAAGGCTTAGGATTTTAATCTCTATTGTAGATGGGCACTTAAGCCTCGTTTACATAGAAGTCGTAGTCGTAAGAATAGTCGACTATGATTGGTCAATTCTTATGTGTCTGACGAAGTTGACCAATCGCAGTCGATTATTCTTACGACTGCGACTCTGCGACTCGCATTGTAGACCCCGCATAAGAATTGACCAATCATAGGCCAGTATTCATAGTCCGTTCTTATATTTAAGATCATCTTAAGTATGCTCTTAATATGTTTTCAACCAATCACAGAGCTGTATTAGCGTCTTAAAACAATACTTAAGATGATTTTGAAATAAGAACCGACTATGAATACCGGCCATAGTAGACTATTCTTACAACTACGACGTTACGACTTCTATGTAGACGAGGCTTTAAGCCTCCGCTACAATGATTCTCGGTTCTGTCTACAATGGTCGTAGTGGTAAGAATAATCGACTGCGATTGGTCAATTCCGTCAGATACATGAGAATTGACCAATCGCAGTCGACTATTCTTATGACTACGACTTTACGACTTCTATGTAAACGAGACTTAAATGTCAGTGTTCTATTGGAACTGGCCAATCGCGTTTATCGAAAGTAGTTGACCGCTCTCGACGGCCTTCCCTCGATGTGTTCCGCAATTGCGCAGCATCGATCCGCAACGCTACTCGTTTTTACCGACGGAACCGGGTCCGTCCATCAGCGGGACCTCACTAGATGGATTTCGGAACCCGCAATCGCGTCATGCGGTCATTCGCGCGGTCGTAGAGCGAACGAGAGTTCTGGAATGATCCGGAAAGGATCGCAACGAGGGTACAAATCCACTCGATCACACGGATCCTAGTCAAACGGGAACGTCTCCCCTGCGACTTGCTCGCTCCTACGATTTCTCCCTGTTACGCCGCGATGCGTGCATGACCCCTTTCTCCCTTCCCTCCCCCCTCTTTCCACACCCCTCTCTGACGCACATCGAGCACTTCACTTCCACGTTTTATCTCATTCCTGTTGCTCGGGGGATTTCCGTCTTCCGACGGACGCAATATCGCGCCTGTATCTATACCCATTCGTCGTAGATACTGGCCGACCGTTGGCCGCCGCCTCGTATTCACGTCGATGCGGGGACACGGTGGAGAGCCAGATTTCCGCACGAAATGACGGCGGGGAACCGGATTTCTAACGAGATATCGAACGGAGAACGGGAACCGGGAAGCGAAACGCCGAGGTCTCCCACCGGACTCGACCTCGTCGCGCCACCCGACATTTCTACGCCTATGCGTGACCCCGATGTAGCCTCGTCGTAATGGGTAATTACGACGGGCGGGGTGGGGGGGGAGGGGGGAAGGGACCACGCGGATATAGGGTGAGACGCTCGAAATTATCGCGCCCTGAGTCTCGCCCGTCGAGGAAATCGGGTCGCGTGTCGCTCCGACGTTAACTCCTGCTCCGTTCCGAGCGACGTTCGCGCGCGAAGGGTGTCGGCACTAAAGGCCGACGGTTTTCACTTCCGGCGTAGCGTCCCGCCGAGCACGCGGTTCCCACCTTGACATTTCTGCAACGCGCAGAACGCCCGGAGAGGCGATCGATTTATGCAAATTGTCCCGCCCGAAAGAATCCGGAGCGAAAAGCCGCGTCGACTGGAGACGACGGGCCTTTTGCACACTCGACCCGCTCCTCTCTCGCTCTTTCTCCCCTCGCGGATAGAATGTAGAATATCGACGCGAGTCAGGCTGGTGATTTCGCACGCCTACCCCGTATATCGGCCGGTTCATCAGCGTGAACGCCGGTGGGCCGCGACCACGACAGGCGTATACGACGTACTCCTCGTCGGACATCGAAATGCGATGAGTCATCGGCACCCTCGGTGTCGCAAGAGACGCGCAAAGAAACGTCGGACGGTATCTCTGGTACGACCGCATTTGCCGCGCGAACGCACCTCGAGCCGCGACATCGGATTGAAACGCTCGGATCGGCGTTGCTCCATTATTCGACATGAGAGGCTACGTGAGAGGCACGGCCGGAGCCGCACGTCACGTTCGGTACGAGCGACGAGCTCGAGAGAGAGAGAGAGAAAGAGAGAGAGGAGAAAGAGAAAGAGTGAGAGAGAGAGAGAGAGAGAGAGATCCTCCCGAGAATCGTCGACGCTTTCCGCGATACGCGCCATGCGAGCGACGCGACGTATCCACCCGTGTTCGTGCGCCGCTGGCGACGAGCAGCGCCAAAGCGCACCGAGCGGCACCGAGCGCGAACTGACGCGAGCACGGGCGAGCGCACGGGCGAAGGGAGGGGAGGAGGGGACGAATAACGTTGGGCCTTGGGCGAGCGGGGCGAGGCGGGGCGGGCGGGGCCTCGCGCTCGGCCAGGCTCGGGCGTCACCGGCCGGCCACTCGCGTCGCTAGCGGCGCGCTCGGCTCGCCGGCGGTGGGGGCAGAGACGATGCATGGGCCGCGACTAGGAGGCACTCGGGAGGCAGGGAGGGCATGCGAACGACGGTGGAGCGCACAGTTCGGTAGTCGCCATTGCGAGTCTCCCTCGTGTCTCGCGCATCGCGACCGAATTCTCTGATATACGCGTGGAGCCCGGACTCTATTTTTCCGCTTAACCTAATACAATACATCCCCCCGTCGTGGGCCCCCATGCGCGATACCCCGATGCAGAGATATTGCAGCGAGCTCACCGAAAAATTGTTGAAATCCCTTGACAAGGAATACAATGTAAGTAAAGGCGGTGTGTATATGGTGTGTCGCGGCGAGATGCACCGCGCCGTCTCCGTGGTCCGTACGCGCAAACGGCTATCGGGCCACTCTCGATCCCCCGTGCGCCGTGTTGCTGCCTGTACCAGTGACGTGCGCGAGAGTGCCCGCTAGAGTGACAGCGTGTGCGTGTGTGTGTGTGTGTGCGTCCCGCGCGCGCGCGCCCGTGTGTGCGTGCGTGCGGTAGCGTGGCGGTCGCGCGAGTGTGTGTGCGAGCGCCGCCGCCGCCGCCGCGGCGGCGGCGGCGGCAGCCACGACCGTCGTCGCCGTCGTCCGCCACGATGCCGCGCGGGACACTGCTCCTCTCACCGCGGACGACGCGACGGCGGTCCGCGCGCACTACGTATGGCTCGCACACGCGACGGAGCACGCACGCACGCACACACTCCTTCGCCCGCCGCCGAGTGTGTACGCGCGAGGCAGAGAGAGGGAGGGAGAGAGCGAGCGGGGGAGGGAAAAGGACACCGGCTGAGTCGGGAGTAACGTAACGCGGCGACGTGCGTGTGAGCGCGTTCTCGCCTACCTGGTCGCATAACCTCAATCGCGATGACGCGCCCGCCCGGCCCGGCGTTTCTCTTCCTCCACGCGGTTGCAGCGCAGCTCGCGACGAGGGTCCGCGCGGACGCCGTCGCTTCCTCTCCCCCCGGTCGTCGTAGAGCTCGTACTCGACGTTTCCGCTCCGGGGAAATCGGAGCACGGCGGTCCCGGACGAGCTCGCCCGAGGGTGCGAGTCCTCGCGGCGCGCATTTGTTAGAATCCTTCCCTTTGCCCGCGTAAAATGTCATCGCGGACTCCACGGCGGTCGAAAAGTTCGATCGGGCTTTTTCGCCGAGGAACTTGGCGATTCTAAATATATTCTTTGCGGAAAAAACGCACGAGCGAGCGAGCGCGCGCGCGCGCGCGCATATATCGCGTGCGCGTGTAATCGTGTGTGGTTATTACGTATGGTGTTTCGCGCGTACGTGCACGGCGCGTGTGCGCGCGTACAACTTGTCACTGGAACCCGCTGGAAGCCTTCCCTCCGAAGGCTCCACCTCCCGCGTATCGAAATTCGATTGTAATCCCCGCGCGCTCGTAATTGCGAGCGAACATATGTTAAAAATTCCCTTATCTCCGTTCCAGGTCGTCGATATGCGAGCCGTTGTCGATGTCATTTCGGCACTGGAAAAGACGCCAGTCACCAAGGAGGTGTTGGAGGTAACGGCCGAGCGGATCGCCGACAAATTTTACGATCGGTGCATTCCGTTTGCGCGACGCGGGTCGACACGAGCGTAAATTTTATTTCAAGAGGGACAAGCGACTCGCGTCGCCAAGTGGAAAGCACCAAACGTCCTACCTGTAATTCGTAGCGACGATCCACCTTCCCCTCGTTCCGTATCGCAGTCGCCTATTGTGAGACAGGATCCTAACAGGCGAATTAACAGGCGTCGTCTGTTGGCTCCACCATGAATTTATTGCCCTCGGAGTAGTCTCTTTGGTGGACAATTGATCGTTGGGCCGTGCAATCGTTGCGCAAAGAGACCTGCGATTGAATTTGGATGTTCATCACCTGCTATCTCATGCTAGAATCCTGTTTCACGATAGAGAGGCTCTTCCTCTACATCCCCCACCCCCTTACGAAAAAGTAACGGAGTAATTGTGCTAGAAAATTACTGTACGTCAGTAACTGAATCGTTAGAAATCACTGGTGCACACTGGGTGTCACTGATGCCTTCCCACATGAGGAAAATCACGGGAAAGGCATTGGTGATTTCTAGTGTGCAGTCGGGGTGAGAGAGCTTGCCCGACGTTGTACGATAAATTTCGGAAATACAGTCTACCGCGCGAGAAATTATAGCTTGCGCTCGCGGATATGTGCAGTGTAATATTGGAGCAAGGGACGATGTGTACGAATATCTATGCAACGATACATACGAATATTCCTAAAGCTTGTGGTAAAACGTCGGACAACCTTTCCGACCGTACAGTAATTATCTATTGATTATTTCGTTGCTTCTTCGCCTGTTTAAAATAATAGAATGCAATCTGATTGTATGCACTTTCGATGTAAATTAATAAGAGTCTTACCTGACCGTACTCTAATATTTTAAACAGGACTATTCCTCGTCTTGTCGTGTCGTCGGTAGAAGCGAACGTATAAATATGTGAAGAAGCTTCAACGAAGATTAATAAAGCTATCGTTTTAATTTAGTTCAGTTGGATACTAAGCGCCGTTGTAGCTGATGCTTGTCGACTCGGTGGCTTCTTATATTACCTAGAAAATAATCTATTTTAAATAATTACAATGGGGTAGAGTTTCTTGTAATGCGATAGCTGAGCGCTTGAAGGAGTTTAAACGCCTAGTGTTGAATGTTTAATCAAGATTAAACATGAATTTTTCACAAAAGGGAAAATTAGAAAAAAAAGGGCTAAGCTAGCTAAGACTCAAACGAGTACGCAAGTTGAATGGTTGACACACGCGTACGTGCGCACTTTCAAATTATTGACTGCTGCCGTTGAACCGTCAAAATTGCAGCTCAATATTTGTGTTCAACGGGATATTTCTGATTGTAAATAAAGGACGGTATTGTAATGTAAGTTTGCTGCACTTTGGTAGATTACGAGACTTGGAAAACACATCAACGAGCTTCGTCGAAAGACGAGTAATGAAGCCCTGGCCAAGCGTGCGAAGGATCTGGTACGCCGCTGGCGAGACATGGTTTTACCGACGGTACACTCGACGCCGCAGCCTACCCTGGGCGACGCGGCACCACCGGCCCTCAATGGCGCGAAGGAGGCGGCCTTGAGGATTTTCAAGCCACAGAGCCCCGCGCTGCGTGGACTCAAGCCTCACAGTCCTCTGTTGAAAGACGTCACTCCTCTCAGAGTAAGTCGCAAGCCTTTGGGAGAAACCCGCTCATTTGTTGCGGAATGTAGATTTGTCTTTCTTTAAGACGAGAGAAACGAAACTTGGAGCAAACGTGTTGGCCATTGGTCCAATTAGTCTAGATTGAACATGGGAAATTTGTGATTGCAGGTACTCAGTCCGGCGCTATCCGTGCACAGTGACCATTCGCGATCTCCCAACGCGTCTTCGAATAATAAGCAGTCAATTACCCTGAGCAGCAATCACAGGATAAGTTCCTGCTCGAGAAACGCGTCCCCGGTGCTCGGTAGCTCGAATCAGAATCACGTGACGGAAGCGGTGCCGCGTACACACAGTTCGAACAAGCGGCTGCGGAAAGAGGAGAGCGGCAAGGACCAATGTCAATACTATCAATCGCCGCACGGAGCTGAGTCGACGATAGAAGAGGTGAAGAAGCAGCGGTTCAACGGCGAGAACATAAGTGGTAATTTAAATTCGCAAGTGCCTAGCCCCACGCTGAAGGAACGAATCTCCGATTGTTTCACGGAGACCAGCCTCGCGACCACGAACGAGGAGTCGGGCCCGAAGAAGCGCGGCCGCAAGAAGGGCAGCAAGTCCGCGAAGCGACAATCGTTTCTCGAGGACAGCGTGAAGGAGAAGCTGGCCAGTATCTCGAGGAACCCGAAGCTGAAGACCACGCAGGAGCTGCTGGCCGACCTGCAGGCGCGCGGAATCAATTGCAGTCCCGTCGGCAGCGCCAATGCCCTACCTAGTCAAAGCGTCGCGGAACCGCCCAGCATGGACGACGTTCTGCGGGGCAGCAACAACGAGCGGGTGTCCAAGTATCTGCGCTGCTCGAGCCAGAACCACTCCCAGGGCCTGCACAAGAGTGCGGGCTCCTCGGAGTTGGCGTCCGCTGGCAAAGCGCAGAGGGCGGCTCGATTGAGATCCGCGGAGAATTGTCGCGAACCCTCGCCCGAGTCGTGTCAGGACAGGCTGCGCGACAACGATAGGCTATCAGGTACCACCGAGACGTCGAGCTGTCGATCGCCGTTGCAGCGGGACCTCACGGTCGAGGAGATACTGGCCAAGTTACCGCCCTTGGATCCCAGCTCGATAGACTGGGGCGAGAACGAGGAAACGAGGAACGACGTCCAATGTTTTCCGCCGCCGCGGCAAGGTACCGCTGAGGATCTCGAGAGGTTGCACGCGCAGTATATGGAGGGACTTAACGGCAACTTTCAACCGAGACCGTCGGCGGCGGCGACCGCGTGTGCCGACGAGCGCCCCAACGCCAGGGACGGAGGAAACGGAGTGCCGTCAGGCTTGTCGAACGTGGACAGTGTAAAAAGTGTGCGCAACAACCAAACTGACGATGCGGAGTTTCGGGAGTGGCACCAGATGTTAGCGAGGCCCAGTTACCAGGGCGAAATCCTCAACATAATGCCTTATGTTATTATCGATTAGTGATTTTATCATCTTATTCTATTATTATCCTCTGCCCCTCCTCCCCCTCGACCCCCCCCCCTCCTGCCCCCCTGAGAAACAAATTGTGAGGCGAATTTACAAGATAATTAAAAGCATCCAGCTTGGCCGGGGCTCATTCGGCCGGTTGATTTATTAAAAAAAAAAAAAACAACTAACGATTTCTATTGCAATTCCTGACTGTGCTCTTCATTTCTATTTACGCTGACGCGCGCGACACCGCTCCAGCACCCTCCTCGTCCGTCAACGCTCCCCCCATTGAACGCAGGCCGCTATCTCGCTGCTCTCGTACAAGCGCAACGCGGCGCGGCGAATAGCCCACCCACCACACCCGTCATCGTCGTTCTCGAGCAGCAACATCGTCGTGCTAACATAGTAATTATTATAATATTAATATTATAATTTTATATAATATTAATATTATTCATTATTATTAATATTATTGTTATTAGTATTATTATGTCAATTATTAGTACGGTCCCCCGCTTCTATTCCTCTCCCATTATTCTCATAATTATTGTTATTGCCATCGCCCACCATTGTCGTCGCCATCGTCATCACTTTCGTCACCCCCGTCATCGTCATTATAGCTGTATCGTCATCATCCCCCATCGTCATTATTATCGTTATCGTTGTGCCGACGGTAAAGAAATTAAGAGACCATTAGGAAAAAAAAGGGGAAAAAAAAGAAGAATAGGATCGATGCTAAATTATACAATTGTCAGGGCGCGAGCAGCCGCGTGATGGGATTCTGTAATCGCACGCGGGACGAGTTGTTGATTGTGAGAGATATCAAGTACATAGATATATGGAATAGCGAATATACCGTGGGATACGCCTGCTGCGACACAAGTACTGCATTATTTTTACACAACAATAAAAAAAAATAGGCGTCAATGTGACTACCGACTTGTGATTTTTGAGTATTCAGAGACGTATGTGACAATGGGTCGCTTCTTTTGCGCGTTAATCGGTGCGAAAAAATTTGTTCACGTCTCTCTCTCTCTCTTGGTCTTTTCGATTTAATCCGAAATTCCATCGAGGAGAGAGCGGAAGGAAGAGAAGATAGAGATGCAAGGATCACGCTTGAGATTACTCGCGGGGGCGACACGCGGACAGCACACACACAGATGACAGAAATGCAACGAGATCACCGCGGTCTCCGGGACGTTTGCTGTCCTATCTAACAAGACTGTCACACAGGGACTTTGTCGCGCGACTGTAGAAAGCAACGCGATTTCTTCGAGCTACCAATAAGTTAGGTACACCGGTGCCTTAATTAAGCGAGAGGAAAATGAAGAGAATATATTTGTCTAAGTGCGTCGTAGAGGTTTTCTACTCAAAATTCCTTTCGTTGCACCTTGCGTTGCGATTTACGGCAGACGTGCCGAAGAGTCCAACACGAGTCGCACGTTATTAGAGAGAAGATCGCGCGATTTTCTCGTAGATGCAATATCAAGGCGGGTTTTTTCGAGTCCGACGATGTACAGGATATGAGAAGTTGCAGGGCTGCTGAGTGAATTACAATAAAACAAAATTCCGAAACGGATGCGTGTGCCGGGCTTGTCTCCCTCGGAGGTGATCCCCGTCGAGCTCAATATTACGATAAGGCATCTAGTCCAAGCGAAGAATCGAGAGAATTGTTTTTGTAGAGTTGCGTTCAATACACTTGTTAAAAACCATCCGTCTGCATTTGGGCGAGACGACGAGTCCTTTGATTCTTTTCGCCGTTTCTCATCCTCCGTCAATCCTTCAAGATCCTTTCGCGATTCTCCCCGCGATCGAAATCGCGGCCGCGCGCGCGCGCGAATCGTCCGTCTAGAGAAACGCGCGTTAACGTCCGAGAGGCTGCGGCGTGCAAGATCGAGAGCTGTGACTAAAGAAACTGCGTGTTTATACCAGAGTCGTCCGTTATCTGGAGACTGTAAGAAGCTTCGCAAGTGGCGAGTCACAAGTTTCTTCCAAGCTCTTTGTTTTACGATAATCCATTCAGTTTCGGAGCCTTTGCGACCCGTGTCTTGTACATTTCTTGTGTGAAATAAATCAAGTTGAATATACTCTCATCCGTCGCTTATTACTCGCAGCGCGATCTCTCCGTTGTTTCTGGACAGTCAGGAAGACGATACGCGCGACGAGAAGTCGTGGAAGAGCGACGTCGAGGCGAGGCCGAACTTGGCCCGCAAATCTGGCGGCTCAGCTGATTCCTCACCTCGAAGGACTGTAATATCCTCGAAACTTTTTGGCCTCTGTTTTTTCGTATCGTCGGGAAGACTCGCGTGGAACCGGACTTGCATCTCTCGGCTCATGAAAGATTTATAATAAAAATGAATAAAACGCACAATGCTGTCGTACACGTAATTTTTTTTAGGTAGAACGAGCTAGACAGTTTTTTTAATACTTAATTTATCACGTCTGAAATAAATGTATTCCGTTCGACGGCGGAGGTGCACGAGCGGCAATCGCGTGTCCCACGGTGGAACCATTTTTCGCGCGTGGTTGTACTTCAAGCAATTTGTCCAACTCTTCTCCGACGAGATCGAGTTACCTACTGTTTCCCATTCTCAAACAATTTGACCTTTTGGAACTGAAACAATTTGACCGTTTCAACTAAAACGAGCAAATCTAAAATCTTATCGCGGCCCCATACGACTTGGAAATTAATTTTATTGTACGATACAGTCTTTTTAAATTGTCACGTATATGTACATACATGTATACATTCTACCATTTTGCCGCGCCTCGAGTGTCGCATCACCCGTCTTGCTACCCGCAGCACTATCACTAACTGGTTATTTGTTCCACATTTTCACCCGGCGTTAGTTTCGGCGGTGGTTTAGGCCTGTGCATCGGTACCAATGCCGCCACGACGTATCTGCCGTCCTCGTTGACGAAATTGAACGCCGTGCACGCGTTGTACACGGAAATTATTTCCGTGGTGATGCCGAGCTTCTGCACGCGCTCCCGCAGACTTCTGATGTAGGCGAAATCGTATTGACGGTCCAGTCCGATGATGAGGAGATCGGGCTTCGGCTCGAGGACGCGGAACAGCGAGAGCGACGCGTCGGTTATGTGTGCGCCGGACTCGATGTTCCAGCAGATAGCGTGTCTGGGGAAGAGCACCATTGGCCCTATCACCCTCGTGCCGGTGTTGAACGTGAAGCCAAGCTGGAAAAGGAGGAAGCCAAGTGTGAAACTTCTTTCGGATCGCCAGTGCTAACCAAATGTACCATGTACACGGAGAGAATTTTCTCTTAAAATTTATCAATAGACCATGACTGGCAAATTTGTTAAAAGTAACACACGTGTGTCGATTTATGCACGGAGAGAATTTTGTCTTGAAATTTCAGTTCTTCTGTTTAAAAGCTCATTCTGGTACCGAGTGAGCTTTTAAACCGAAAAAAAAACCTGGAAATTGTGTAAAATCAAGATAAGACCTTGCGAGAGAGACCAGTCGTAATGTATCCTTTGAAAAACAGGCAATCATAAAATCTGAGCGTAAAATATAGACGAGCCGACCGATTACCTCGTCGCAGCGCGACACCAACAGCCGTTTGCCGATCTCCTTGCTGATGAACGTCACGGTGGTCTTACCGGGAGCCTCGTACCCATTTTTCACGTGCGTAACGTGCAAACTCCTGCGAAAAATTGTAGACGTATGTAGACAAAGACTGGAGCAAGAGCGAGAAATCAAGGAGAGGAAAGTTTGTCGCGTCGCCTATAATTCCAGAAGGGTAGAGAAACGACAGCACTCCCCTAGCAGAGTATATTGGCCGTAATATTGGGAAATATGTGAATCTAATATTCCGAACATCGGTCCAATATTGTAAGATGGAGACGCCTCCTCTTATTCCCAGATAGCACAAGACACTGTGAACATCTTGAGAATATTCTTCAAGAATATCTGGAATATTCCATAGGTCATTCTTACAGATTTATCTTATGTTCGTGGAACAGTCGCTACTATAGATCTTTTTCGAGTGCGAATAGAATAATCTATCGAATATAGCGGTTACACATGGTATGATCACAGGTTTCACTGCCTTTTGCATAAGATAAGTGTGTTACACGATAAACAATGTGCAATACGTCAACTCGATGAATATTCAAAAGCTATTCTGAACGAATACTCCGACATTCTTGATGAATATTCTAAAAACGTTATTCTTTGTTACGAATACACGATTTCTAATTGTAATAATCTATATATATTTATAGAATATTCGATTGAAATATTCTGAAATTACGAATGTTCATAGAACTGTGCGTGCTATCTGGGTCTAGCGAGGGGGAAACCGCTGAGGGCATTGTGGTGTACAGATTTGTGGCATTACAGGGCATTAGACCCTGCTGGGACATTATAAAGATAAAATAAGATAAAATGAATGAATGAGAGTATGGATGAATGAGTGGTTAAGAAACTTTTGTAAACCAAGTCCCACTTTCTGGCTGTATGCTAAAGGTAATAAAGCATATATATATATATATATATAAAATAATGCCCACTGGGCATTAGTGGGCATTGGTGTACAAGATTTTGGTCGGCGGTTTCCCCCTGGGGGTTTAGCCAATGTGCCCACTTAGCAATATTCAAACGATTCAAGTCCTTTCAAAGTTTCTCTCCAACGCCCGTTCCAATGCAGATTAGCTCTGATCTCGGTCCAGTTTACTTTCCATCTCTTTCCAACTCTCAGGCCCGGTTTCGCCAAAACGTCGCTCGACTTTGATCTTAGTTTAATTCACGCTCGTCTCCTTCTGAAGCAATCAGTCGGAAAGGGACGAGGAACGAATTAAGCGAAGCTCGAAGTTGAACAACGTCGGTGAAACGTCGGGCCTTGGAACCTGGAAGGAGATAAAAAGCAAAGTCAGACCGAGATGAAAATTAACCTACACCGGTAGAAACGGGCGCGATTGAGACAACTTTAAAGGGCTCGCGAAACAACGTCCACGCGACACTCGTTTGTTACACACAATCGTCAGCAAGGCGATCTTTTGTTCCCTCAACCACGCTCGCAGGGTGCGTTTACGAATGTACTTGCCTGTAACCTCGCGACGCTCTCGCCAAGTGACCCAGCTTGCCGATCACGTTCATCGTGTCGCCCCGCGGCGGATCTGCCGCGACGCGAGGACACGTGGTGCGGGTGGTCCGCGGCGAGCGGGCTCAGGTTAACCTCGCGCGGCAACGTGACGCGCCAGTCGGCGAGAACGTTGTAGGTTAGGACGCGCGCGCGTGCCGAATCGTCCGTCTCTCTCCCTCGCTCTCGCGCAGGAAATTCGTCCCCGGACCGGGCCCGCGCGTCCGACTCTCGCCCGAGGAGACTCGTCGCAACGTGGACCATCGGCCGGCTCCCCTCGCCGCGCGACGTCCGCGCCGGATCGAAGACGAGGGCGGGAAACGCGATCCGTCCGGGTGCGGCGATTCAAACCTCATCGCATCATGGCGATGCCCGGTCGGTCGCGGCGGGCGCCCCTTCCCCGTTTTTTCGGTATATTTTTAGCAATATCGCGTATAAATACTCCGCCGCGAAGACACGTTATTTCAACGCAACGCCGATGAGCAGCGATCGGGTCGAAGATGAGCAAGGGCTGCTGGAAATTCGACGAGGAGGACAAAGGTGAGCGCGCGGTGCTTGCTCGCTCTCTCCCTCTTTCTCGCGGGCGTAGACCCCGTGAGGGCGATATCGACGTGTCCCGCCTCGCGGCCCGAACAAGCCGGGATCCCCCGCGACCTCCGCGTGAAATTGCGCTTCAGACGCGAGGTCTCGATCGCTCGCCCCAATTTCTCTACCCCTGCCGGCACGAGGAGACGGCGCCCGCACGCTTACGTGCCGTCGCGTGTACAACGCGGCTCCTTCACCGCCCGCATAGCTGCGCGCAATTTCCTCCCCTTGACGTAATACTCGCGAGTAGTAACGTTACGTGGGGGATGCCGGCGGGGCGAGTCGTCGCGACGGCGAGGGTGAAAACCGCGGCGGACAACTCGGGGGGGGGGGGGGGAATTAATATGCAATCGACATTAATATCGTCTAAAAATAATTCGCATTCAAGGTGGGCGTGTAAAAATAGGGCGCCGATACAAGGCGAGGATAGATAGGCTTAGCTCCGGTAATAAAGCGCTGTCTTGTCTCTTGTCAAGCCTTGTACATAGATCTGGAGGAGGACACGGAGGAGGATAAGCTGCGCAGGGAGTACAGCGCCTGGGACCAGATACCCGACATCCTGCTGGAGGAGATCTTCTCGCACCTGACGATCCGCGAGCGCTACTATGCGTCCCTGGTGTGCCGGTCGTGGTATCGCGCCTTCAAGCTGCGCAACGTCTGGTCCACGTTCACCCTGGAGGACACCACCCTGACGCGGGGCAAGTTCAACTACTACAGCGGCTGGCAGTACGTCCTGGATCACATCAGGGCGTCCACCTGCCTGAACAAGGTCGGCAGGCACTTCCGCACGCTCGTGTTCGAGCCCATGCTCAATTTCTACAATCTCTACGAGTTCATGAACATGATTTCGTGGTACGCCGAGCGGCAGGGCTCGGACAACACGTCCGTGGCCGGCGTGGGTACCTACGTGCGCCGGCTCAAGTTCACCTTCCCCTGCAACATGGCCAACCGGGACGATCCGGATCGCATCAGGGTCTTCGGCACCGGCGGCAAGCTGCTGGAGGCCCTCAAGAGGCTCATGGCGAACCTGCAGAATCTCAGATGCCTGGAGCTGATAGATCTGATGCTCGAGAGCAACGAAGCGCTGCACCTGATGGACGACATCTGCGTCAATTGCACGCAGACCCTCTCGAAATTGATACTGATCAACACCACGCGTTACAATTGCCCGCTGTTGCACGTGGGTGTATTCGTTAATTTGAACGTGAGTACGTCGATATGAATGCTCGACTGGCGGTTCCAGACTCTTCATCCCAGACATTTTCAGGTCCTGGTTATCAGCCCCCAAAACTTGCACGAAGACGTGATAGAGCTGATAGGCTACACAAAATTGCGGCACCTTCATATTCTGCAAAATCGATATAGTACAAAGGACACTACTATAAGATTGGTAAATACGATCCTGCGTTCGAACGTATTACACATCGAGTCCTTTCGCGTCGATGGATACGCATTCGGCTTTTCATTTCAGCCAAAGAGGTCGTCTTGGGTAAAGATGAGGGCGAACAATCCCTACTTGAAGGTGCACTTTGAGATAGAGAGTCACAAAGCCACGGATATTCTTTTGCCTATCGATTTATTGGAGCACAGCGTCATACCGTGTCACAGTATAGTATTGGATAATCCGAATACCCAAGTTGGTGAAATAATTATGTACACTTTTCTATGTCGGAGAGCCAAGTGTGTACAAATCTCTCGTTCTACAAACGCTTCGCAGGTCTCGCCCTCCATGGTGTTCCACGGAACGTTCTTCGAGTCGACGATACGGGTGTACGCTTTCAAGGGAATGACGAGGTACCATCTGCACAGGAGCTTCGCCAAGAGGCTGGACGAGTCGTTAGTGCAATTCTGCCGAATGTGCCCGAACCTGCATACACTGGTAGCATTTTGTATTTGAATCCAAAGGCTTGCGATAGCTTTCCTAAAACTCTGACGTTAACAACGCTACTTTGCGACGTGCTGGCATGCGTTTCCACCCTTGCACATTATTTCTTGCTATGGTGTGAGTGTAAGTTCCACCTAACTACTCTATAGGCTTACTTACCCCGATGCTGCGTGTGCTAAATATTCGGAATGTTCGAGCTCGATTTCGATCATCTTTTCGTTTGCAATGTATTTCAAGATGCTCTCTTCTCTCTGCGTTTGGACAAACGGTTAATTGAATAGCTGTACGAGTCGTTCAAAACTCGAATCCGATAAAGTCCTTGATCTGTGAGATTCGTTTTAGATACAATTTTACATTCAGGATGAACGTTACGAATCATCAACTATCTGGCTTCTCCTGAACGCCTGATGAAACAGTAACTAAAAAAGAACAATGGATAAGTTTAGTCGACCTGGCACGTGTTTAATAAATTAAAAAATAAAAAATATACAGTGCGACGTTTCGACCAAGGGTTTAGGTCCTTATCACGCACACATTCTAAAGAGAACAAACCAATAATCGGAGTTACACGCTTATCATAGATACAAATGAAATTAAAGAAAAAATTCAAACTAATTGTACAATAGTAATGTGTAAAATGAGACGCAATCACATATAACGAGTACAATAAAAGATACGGTTTGTCAAGTGGATAACGTAGATAACAAATTGCAAATAAATCTTCGACCAGTCACCTACCTTAAAAATTAATCGAGTCGATGCAATATGTAATTGCACGGTAAAAATTACAACAGAGTCGAGTCGTGATTATATAAAATTAACGGCACAAGATAAAATATGTACAATGTCTACCATGGCCGGAACGTCGCACTGTATATTTTTAATTTTTAATTTATTAAACACATGCCAGATAAGGTCGACTAAACTTATCCATTGTTATTTATTACTGGCAATCTAAAGAGATTATCATGTTTTAACTAAAAAAAAGAATTAGAATACGTTGCTGTTCCACCATTATCCGTTACTATCGTTTTACAATACAGTGACGAAGAACATTTCTTCCACAGATGATCCGAGATAAGATATCGACCGCCACGATCTTGGAGATTGTCTCCACCGCGAAATGCTTACGCTGTTTATACGTTCGGCGAAACGTAGTCCTCAAGAGATTCGACAGAGCCTGGTCGGAAATGATGGATAGCTCGTCCGAGTATTACCAGTGGATCAAGGTAAATAGCCATAGCTACGAGAACACGGAAAGAGAAGTGTCCAGAATATTGGGCTATCGATGGCACATGCTGTCCGAGAAAGAATTTAAGGCGCAGGTAGTCAATTTACACACATAGGCCGCTTACGAAGCGACTTATACGTGTTGCAGTAAAGTCAGTAGTTGTATGCATTTATTAGTAAATATACGCATTATCGAAAAATTCATCGATATTTGAAAGTAGCAAAAATGTATACAAACTGTTCAAAGTGTTATTTTAGCTTACCGTATGGTCAAATGAAAATTTATATCTTATTAAATAACTAAAAGCTGAACTTGTATTTGCTAATAAGAGCATACAATAAAGGTTCTTCGTTGCAACGTGCAAATAGGAATTCGCCTCTATTTTTAGTTCTGAAATCTTTTTATATAATTATATATATTAATTTATTATATTTATATACATTATGTATAATGAAATGAGGCTGTAGATTGGTTGTCATGACTGTACGCTTAATATTAGTGGTAAGTCCTGTAATTACATGCAATTGTTACTTTTACGTACCACTATATTGTAGTCGTGATTGTAAAAGTTGCGGATATATCGAAAGAGATTGAAATGTACTTAATCTAAATGCCGTTAGACGATTTTGCGATTGTTGTATTATGCTTTCTTTTTTAACGGAAATGACTGTGATCGACATTGTTAACCGCCGAAGATGAAGGGATAGGCAATCTGTTAGACACTCGTTGGACTGTTCTCTACAGAGAAAGATATAATAAAACATAAACTTTGCTGACGTTTATCTTTATATAATCTACAGTTTAGTTTACTTGAATACATCATTACAACTTACATGTAATTATGTACAGTGCTAATAAATATTTCGTACATCTTGTGTATGTATCAACTGTTATATACGAAATAATTCCATCAGTTTGCACATTACAATCCATTTTTAAACCAGAATAATAAATTCAACCTACAACAATTAAAACGTAATAATTTCATTATCAAAATCAACATGTATACATATCCAAGAAAGAGACAACAATGACAACAGTTCAAAAGAGACCACCGACATGATCATACGATCGAGTTGATAAAAATATTTAAAATATATACCGAAATAATTTATATGTGAAATGCAATCATTGTTACCAGCATTACAGTTGTATACACATATACGTGTATATATACACATACACTGTATATACATTTCGACTTGTATATACATGCGGACTTCATTAAATATTACTAAATAAATATAGCTAGCTGTTACAGCGACGAGATGAAATCACATATTCATACACCGACGGAGATTTATGCAGGAGAAGGAAGTACATCACGTGGAGTATCTGCACAATTTCGACTTTGGAGAATCGATGGAGAAAACGGCAATTTTTACGCTATTGAATCCAGCTACAATAAATTAAAAAGAGAAAATTCAAGTATACTCGCATTACACTAAAATGAGACAACCAGCGTAGAAGCGTGATTACGGTGCCATAGCTGCAGATCGTTTGTCGCGACTCTTGTTGCGCTGAATGGTGCGTGCTTTGAACGCGGCCGCGTTCATCAGTGTCTGCAACACGAAAGGGGAGGAAATAGCGTTTAGCCTTGGTACTCGAAACGAACGAACGAACGTCGCCCTCGCGGATACGTACTCTCTCTAATTTGCTCGTTTTGATCGTGATGGGTGGAGGTAGAACTTTGTTGCCGAGGTGAAAGATCTCGCGCAGGAGTTGATTTTCAGCAAGCTGGATATTGATACCGGGGCCTAACAGCCGGCAGCAAGCGTTGTACTGGGTCCTCGCGCACCATCCCTCTAAATACAGAACTTCCTGGCCGAATCTCACGTGCATCTCCGGAACGACGTCTTCCTGAAAGTGAAGCGGACCATGCGCCGTCTCAGTCTATCTCTTATCGGTTCGATCTCGTTTTTAATCCTTAGCTGGCACCGTGGGGTATTAAATGCCTAGTTCAGCTCAAATTTAAGCCCCCTTATAGTATGAAAATTGTACTTGTAGTGCCATGTATTGTTCCCAGTGTGCCAGCTAAGGATTAAAGGCCTGCGTCCACGATGCTAGAACTCGTTTCAAGCTTTTGTGGAATAGCTGCAAGTTGACTGGCTACACATTTCGCGAAATTAGAACTTGGACCAAGTTCTAGCATCGTGGACACAAGCCTTAAAACATTTCGTTCGTGTAAACAGCGAAACGTGACTTACCACGATGTAACGCAGAATATCTCTAAAATTGGCGCGTTGCTGCTTGCGATCTTTCTTGGCGCGGTACTTGTTGGAATCCGTGGCGAGCTCCCTGAGAACCTCGATCAGATCGAGCGTCCAGTTCCGCTTGTAGTCGCACAAGTCGCGGTCGAGTTCGAATATCACCGCTAGCGCCTCGCCGGCCGACAGGCGTACGTCGAGATGCGGCGACTCCAGCAATTCGCGTAGTCGACTGAGCGAGCTGGAAGAAAAGATTTTCCCATGCTTATCGCCGTGCGACAACCGCGTGTCGATCGACGACTTACGGCATGTAGTTGTTCGTTCTGCCGCTCGCGAGCAGGCTGAAGATATCCGCGGAAGTCATGACAGTTAGAAGCAAGGTCCACGCTGAGATAGCTGCCACGTGTAGCGCCGCCACGTCCGTGGATATGTTGGCGATCGCGCCGTTCCCCTTCAAGTAGGAGCCGGAAAAGATAGACGACAGTAGCTGTGCAATTTCCATGGTGTCGGTCGCATCGTTGCCCGATAAGAATTGATTCATGGCCAGCGCCCAGCAACACTGGAATCATTTCGTTAACATGAATATACTGTCATTATCGAGTACAAGACGCGGGGGTAAAAAAAAAAAGGATTCGATACTTTGCTAACGTATACAGCCTTAGGCAAAATTACTGGATACTCTCGTAATCTTTCATACCGTGCTGAGTCTAGTACCAGGGAAGATTTTTATTGTATAAAAGTTGTTTACTGTGCAGAAACGATGGACGCTCTAGTAAACAACTTTCACAATAGAACTTAAACAATAGACATCTTCGTGTTAAACGCAGTATGACGATTACGCGGGTGCCTGATAATCTTATATCTAAGGCTGTGGTATTCAAGCGGAGTGATAAACGCTCGATTGTCACAGATTGTCACGCGAAAACCGATACTCTAAAATGCGATTCTCAATTGCGATAACGCAAGCTGCTCATTTCCACTCAATCACCGTGGCTTACGTGAAAACAAAAATCATGACTATTAAGGGCCAGTTTCGCCCTAAATACACACAAACCCTCGTTCTGAATCCTCTTTTATCGACAAGAGCGCTTGTGAAAGATCTTTCCAGCCAATGAGAACTCTTCGAAACCAATTTTAATAGCACTTTTATCGTTGAAAGAGGATTCCGAGGGCCATGAAGTTATCTTCATTAGTCTAATTGTACTTTTATAAGAGGCAATTGTGATACATCTCTGTGTTTTCGCAATGTTTTCCCGTCGGATGCCGATAAGCTTTCAAACGCATCCGACAGGCATTGTCTATAATACCCGCTACATTACGCTCGATGTGCAAACGAGAATTGCCCAGAAACTCTATGTACGCTCGCAAAGTCTCCGACTGCTTTACGCCAGGCGATCGTACGATCGTTATACCTCGGCGCGTGCATGGACAGGAGCGGTGTTGTCGTTGGCGATGAAGATGAGAGTAGACTTGAGATCTCGGCAGACCATCTCGGCGCTCTCGAAGGCGCCCAGCTGGACGCACAGCAGGGTGCTAAGCCTGGCCGCCGCCGACTGCTCGTCGCCGCGTCCCTTCTTCAGGCCGCGCTCCACCGCGTCCGCGATGGTCATCTTCCTGTCCTCCACGAAGTCGGGTATGTACTTGATGGCGAAGATCTTCTCGATGCCGTTGAAGCAGATGGTCCGGCCCTTGGCGCTCTTCTGCGTCAGCCCGTCGATCGCCTCCCTCAGTTTCTCCTCGAACGCCTCCTGCTGCGCGAGCTCGTCCACCTCGTTGTCGTTCGCGTTGTCCTCCAGCACGCTGCGGTTGTCGGACTGGCCGCTGGTCTCGCTACACGCATCATTGTTGATCGAGTCCTCGTCGGATGTAAACTCAGCTCTTTTTCCACCTGCCGGCAGAAGGCGAGACATATGGATCGGGTGTGCGTTCGCGTGCGATCTCCCGTGCGCCGTTTGCTCTATTTTTAAGCTGCTCGCGAGACGTGAATTACAATTAACGGAGGCTGGAGGCCAAATCGAAATTTTGGTACCATTTGGACACTTAAGGATAATTTACACCTACATAGACCAGCAATCACCTACTTTGATGACATTATATATTTTTATTTCTCCCTTGAATCTTTACTTAAAAAATTTACTTTAGCTCCTACTTAAAAGGACCCACTTTAATGCTAAATTGGCAAAAGTAGAAATTTCCGACGCTACCAGTTTTTAAGTAGGAGTCAATTTTGTACTTGCAGTTCAACCTCTTTTACTGTCTTAGGTCCTGCTATATATAATAGAATTAAAGGTTCAACGTAGGGCCAAACTTTCGTCTTGGGAGGATGCGAAAGAGTTGGCGGGCGAGACGCCATATGGAGTCGGGAGCTTCGCATATGTTCGTTAATTTAGCGACAACTATCGGCATTAATGACGATAAGCAATCTGAATATTCTCGAGTCGTTAAGAAGAGGAAACTTCTCGGGAACCGGTCGAAAGCGACTTGATAGTGGCTTATCTCCGCCAGTAACAGATAAACAAAGGTTCGAAGTTTGAGAATGTCGTGCCAGGCGGGAACTACGGCGCGCGGTGTAATCCGCGAGCTGAGGAAAAATAATAACAGCTGCTGAAAGTGAATGTCACGTTACGTAACGTGAAATCCGCACAGCTGCACCTGTTTCGTTAGCGGGTTTCGGCGCGTGGCGGACGATTAAAGCGACGGGAAAAAGAAACTCGCGTGGCTCGCGACAGATCATAACCACCTTGCGGCGACGTTTGTTTAACTTTAGACACGGACGTCTAGCAAAAGTAAGAAGACACGCTGGGCTGCATTCTTCACCCGATCTGTACGACATCGCTCCCGGAATCTGGACACACTTTATTTTATACAAACAAGTCGAAACGCTTAAAAACGTTCGTCGGCAATGTTACGATTGTATATCTACACTTAATCAACTCGCGCAAATTTATTTGCTACAAAACAGAACGTTTCTGGACGCAAGGAGCACATTGCAGACGAGGGGGAAACCGCCGACCAAAATCTTGTGCACCAATGCCCAATGGTCAGCGGTTTTCCCCTCGGCCCAAACTAATGCCCAAAAATGCCCAGTAATGCCCAGCAATGCCGCGAATCTGTACACCACAATGCCTTCAGCGGTTTCTCCTTGATTGCAGATCAGGAGATTCTGTATCTTACAATATAGTGAAAATGCTAAAAGCGAGGGGGAAACCGCTGACCAAAATCTTGTACACCAATACCCACTAATGCCCAGTGGGCATTGTTTTATCTTATTTTATCTTTATAATGCCCCAGCAAGGTCTAATGCCCAAACCGAGGGGGGAACCGCTGAGAGCATTGTGGTGTACAGATTCGCGGCATTACTGGGCATTACTAGGCATGTTTTGGGCATTAGGCCCTGCTGGGGCATTATAAAGATAAAATAAGATAAAATAATGCCCACTGGGCATTAGTGGGCATTGGTGTACAAGATTTTGGTCAGTGGTTTCCCCCTCGGCTAAAAGTGTGCGGCTTTGTCACGTTCTAAGACAACGGCTAGATGGACACAAAGCTATCGGTTTTCACTGTAGTGTAAGATACAGAATTGACCCCCAGGCTTTCGTAATTCCGTGTACGCAAAAGAGGAAAATCCAAGAGACCGCGTAGACGCGGCGCCGAAATAAAATTGAAGCCAGCCCGCGGGAATTGAATTGAAATCCGAGTCGAGTCGAGTCGCGCGACTAATCGAGCTTTCTCGAGCTTTCTCGAGCGGAGGAAGATCGCGGCTATCGCCGCTTCGTCAGCAAACAAGACGTTTGTGCTGCGAAGCCGCGACGCATCCGAGACAGACGCGCAATAACGAAATGCGGCTCGCGCCGAGTCCTTGACGGGGTCGCGGGACGACGGGGCGAGGGGAGGGAAGCATCTTTTTTTTCTTCTTCTCGCGCGCGCGGAGAATATTCACCAGGTCTCGACCGGATTGGACGAGAATCGGAAGAGGGACCGCGAAACGGGCAATCGATAGGCTCGGCGGGCCCGCTCGCTGCCGATTACCGCGGATTGCTACCGATTGCGCAAACCCCCGCTCGCGCGCGCAATCCTGTCGCGATCGAGGAAAGATATCGAGCGAGTCGCGCGCGCGCGCGCGTGCGAGACTAAAAATACAGGCGAAAATGAAAAGAGAAAGAGCTCGAGGACGTTCGTCCGGTTCGTCCCCAAGAAGCGATAAGAAAAAAAAGCGATACGCGTGTCCCGTACATGTCCATCTGTCGCGCGTGTCCTCGCCAACGCGGAAAAACGTGCGTAGACGCGCGTCGTGACGCACGTACGTACCTAACCGCGCACCCCGTCACTTCCTCCCGCGACGTTCCTTCTAACCTCTCGCGGGAACGCGCGCAATTCTTTTCTCTCTTTTCGCACGCTCGCGCGCGTCCCCGGGGGATTCGCGTCCCGGAGTCCCGACGAGGACGCGCCGCCTCGAGCCGCGCGGGACGTCGCGGTGGCACGCGTGTCGCGCGGGGCGAGCTCCATGTGCCATGGGGCATGAGAGTCACATGGGAACCATGTCGCGTCCGCCATGGCCCTCGGAGGTCCGTTCGCGCGCCAAAAAGGGCCGCGCCAGGACGGACACCCGGGACGGGAAGACCGCGAAGGGGGGAGGGGAAGGAGAGAAAAGCGAGCTGACCGAGGCGAGGACGTCGCAGCCGTGACGTAAGTCCGACGAAATAAACAAGACTTCCATTCCGGATACGTGAATCATCCGGGACGGGCGGACGGACGGACGGAGGCGCGAATCGATAATTTAATAACGTCGTGCGCGTCACGTGCGCCTTCCTCGCCAGATCGCGGGCACCCGCTGCCTTTTTCTTTCCCTCCCGCCGGGCGCGGCGGGGACGGGGGGGAAAAAAGCCCCCGCCGAGGGGAAAACGAGATGACGACCAAGTCGCCTGTCTACTCACCGTACTTTCCTCTTCTGCCCCCTTTGCCTGGCATCGTTCCTCAGCCTCCCGCTTGTCGCACAATTGGTACTAGGTAAAAGGCTCGATCAAGAGGGTAAATGTCTCGAACTAGTGTCTTTCTTTCGTATACTGAATACGCCACGTGAATTTTTCGATGGGAGCAGACGAAAACTCATTAACATGTTGCGGAGCGTTCAGAACATACACGTCGAGACAGCCTACTGTGGCTTTCTCAAGTGTACTGGCTCGTCTTGTCGCTCACGTCCCCTCCTTACCCGTCTCGCCCCGGCCGCCAGCCGAGCGCGGCCGAGCGCGGCCGAGCGCGGCCGAGCGCGCGAGCCAATCGGCGCGACGCGTGCGCGCGCCGCCGGCGCGAAACTCGAACCGGCTGTTTCGCCCGGCGTGGAATTAAAATGAAACGGTGTGTGCGAAGCAGCGTTCTTACCGTTAAGTTTGAAGAGAGTAATTTTATGTGAAATAGCATTTCTCAGAAATCATTAACGACATGTGAAAGTCAAACTAGAGCATCTCTTGAATGAATAGAAGAATCATAAAGGCCCGCCCTTACGAAAAGGTAAAGAAATAATTACTAGAAAATTTATGCACTTCAGTAGTTCTCGATAGTTCAATTACTGCACAGTAATTTTCGAAGAATTACTTTCTTGCTTTTCCCATAAGGGCGTATTCTGAACCGCGATACACTGGTGATTTTCTTAAATCTTACGTCCTCGCTGTATACGCCGCATTACGTACGTTTAACGTAAAGAGCTGACGAGAGCTTGGTTGTAAACAAGGTACTGAGTTTATTAAATACACTGCCTTAACAGAGTAAATTACAAACACTTTGGTACTTAAACTATGGTTTAAGATACACTTGCCGTAACTTAAATCGCACTTGTAGTTTTATATTAATTCAACTTGTGATCGTAACGCGTGTTTGCATCTTAAACCGGTAGAAATGTTGTGCGGAGTTTATTAATTCTAAACCGTTTTACGAACAATACTGATTTATTTCTCGACCGTACGAAGTAGGAAAAGCTTTTTACGAACTAGCATCACAATTGATCAACGTTTGTAAAATGTGCCACTGTTATCTCCCTGGAGAAGCAAATTGTTCTCTAAAAGAAAAAAAAAGATCGTGATTGAAATCTGAATTTACTGAAACCAAGATTTTTGTTTGCGAAACAAAGTTAACTAATTGTAAAATCTTATCTAAGGCTTTTGAAACATGTACAAAAAGATGTATCCACATAAATATGATACTAGTAATACGACTTAGATATTAAATGTGACATCACAGTACAAGTATAACCAGGTTTTACTATACTGTGATATTTTTTATTTCTTCTTAGTAAAAACTTCACTTGTCAGACGTTTTACTTGTATAATAGCAAGTAACAGGTGTAAATAATTACATAAATAAAAGTACTCTTATTTATAACAAACGCGGACAAGCATATAAAATATATAATAATATATTTATATATTCTATAACTTTAATATGAGTAGCCATTAAAGGAAAGGGCCAAATTATAATGACTTTTGATAAAGAGTCGAGTATCTAAATTGTAAATGTTCTCATACATGTATAAATAAAATTAAAAAAAACATTCGGATTCAACATAACTCAAATATGCATATTAAATCAGCCAGGATTCACAATAAATTTTCTGTATTATTGAAATTGCCAGATACGGTCAATAAAAATCACCGATGTTGTTAATTACTGCTGGCGACGTTTAAGAATATTCGCATTAGTTGCATATTAAAGCTGCTTTCCTTTTAGGAGACACAAATCGACACGAGCTAACACTCGTGCGCAGTTTGCCGCTGTGAAATGGCAAAGATTTAAAGAACAGGATCTTAAGAAAAGGTTCTGTCGAAATACTCGGCATTCTTCGGTCAAAAACACGCTCCGACTCTCCAAGTCGAAAAGTGCCGATTGAGTTTGAATTAAATTCTAAATGGAAAGCGGCACGTGTCGATTTGTGTCAAAAATGTTGACTGTGTTCTCTAGAAGGAAAGCAGCCTAAAATTAATGATATTACACAATTACATAAATTAAGTTGTATTGCTTTTGAAACGAGAGAAAGACTTCCAATTAAATTTCGTTTCGTAAACGAATAAGAAGTATATGATAATTAGAAAAATTAAACAAAAATTGCAAGCATATCCTTTGCCCACGGCTATAAATTCTTACGTTAAGTTTTGTCCAACTGGTACATATAAACTTCCATATATCTCTATTTGTCGTATCTCCACGTTTACTCCTGACGCTATGGGGTTGCTAAGGTAATCAAGCGACGTGGACAACAGATTGTTGAGTGTTCACAAGAGACAAAATAGTAAAGAGAATCGCCACGATGAAACAGGTGTTTATGCGCGAGGCGCCGGACGACTGGTTGCCAGTCGCGGCGGCGCTTTCCGCGTTAAGTAAATTCTCGCACGGCGTCACTCTCCTGATAAAGTTAAATATCGAATCCACAATATTTGCAGGCGTGGGATCCGAGCACTTCTCCAACTCCGTCACGGCACAGCCTTGGAATATAGTCATGTCCCTGCGTGACGTATCGACAAATTTGTAAGTTTTTTCCATCCCGTGTAAAAGGATATGTGATGAAATATCAATTGTAACGGTTTAATTCCGAACGATTAAAATATACAAGGCTTTGAATATAAATGTTCGATTCGCCGGAAATATTGGAAAACTTGTGAATCTCGCGCGGCTCACCTGCATTCTCTGACACTGAAAGTCAGTGACGGCAGACTTTCCAGGCTCAAGCTTTTAGTGGGATCAGTTTTTGGTATGTAACCACTGAACGTACGGTTGGCACAATCCTGAAGCGCTTGCTGCTTCGATTGGAAGCACTCTGGTCCTCCAGCCGATATAAAAACTGCAAAGTAATTCACGTTAACAATAATGCCGCGTGAAGCGTTTAAGACACCTCCGGAGCTGCGTTCAGAAACATCACCCGAGTGCCCCAGTACATCATCTTATCCTTGTTGCTCACCGTATGTTAAACAAGGATGAAATGATATACTGGGGCACTCGGGTGATGTTTCTGAACGCAGCCCAGAGAAATCTTTGAAAAGTATAAAATTTTGTTCAAGGCTCTGCGACTTTAGAAATACTCAAATGCTTCTCTAGAATTATTAATAATCAAGCCTTTTAGTCGTAGACATGTACATGTCTCAGTGGTCGAATGGGTGAGACGTTCGCCTGGAGTGTAGGGAAGTCCAGGTTTAAACCCTGGCTGAGGTAATGTCGACTAAAACGCTTGATTATTGTTATCTATCACTGGCGACTTAAAGAGATTTCGATGCTTAGAATTATTGTTCTACCGTAAATAAAACAATCGATTTTTTTTACGTACGGGCGATTCGATCGCCTTCCTTAAAGCAAATAAATTCGAGCAGCGAGTCGGTTATGTTCATCACTATCTTCTTGTTCTCCCTCTCCGTCTCGTCCAGACACTGTTCGAGCGTATGCGTGAAATTGTTCACGCAACCTCGCAGGATCGAGCGCTTGTTGCAATAGTTCTTGAAGACGATATCCAGATCGCCGGTCGGCTTGTACTTCTCCATCTCCGCCTGGAGCTCCGTGACGTTGATGAGCGACTGAAGGCACTGTGTCATCTCCGTCTGGGCGCGATAGGCATCGTCGAATGCATTTGGTCCGCCGTTCTTTGTACACTTCTCCTTAAACAGATTCTTCGCCTCCTCGATGGGCAGCGTCGACACGTTCAGGTCCTTCAATTCCGGGATGTCGCCGACCACGCTGCCGACCTGCTGCAGCACATCGTCGGAAGACGGCACATTCTCTTGCGAATGCGCACAACCGATGATACCTGAAACAAGGAAACGATATCTTATACTGTTGTACAGAAAATGTCTTCTCTTTCAGGTGGACTATCATTTACGTACATTGAGACTCGACTTTCATTCAACGTTTGAGAAAAAAAGATGGTAATCAATCTCACAAACATATCGAGGAATATTTATCACTTGTATATCTCATTATATAAGAGCGCATTATCTCGTCACGTTGGGATCATGACCCGACACCTGATACTTTTTTCTACAACAGATTTTACAATTGACTCGTATCTAGAATCTCTCATAGTCTGTTGCGACTTAGCGTCTAATACTGCGATGACACATCGCTTTTATATCGGTCGCAAGGAATATTGAGGCTTCGAAAAGCCGCATAAAACCTCCGCAGATTAACAGTCGACAGCTACCAGTGATACGCATGTTTCCTAGTCGCTGATCGACGTTTTTTTCTGATATTGTCGTTCGCAATCATCTCACAAGAGCAAGGTTTTGTAGTAATTTCAGCGTGATTCACAGACTCGTTTCGCAGATGTACGATATGATTTTACAAAAACACATGCCAGTAAAATAAAAGATACAAAACTCGAGCAACATTTTCACTTTTTGCCGACGAAATCAATGCATTTTTTTAACCGAATAGTTAATCGTGCGAAATATCCTACAGTCTTCAGGTTTGATATTGCTAAATTATAAAATACGGTCACGTAAAGAACAACATTATGTAAGTGTCATAATAAGCAGTCACGCGCTTCTAATTAATTACGTAAAAAATTGTCCGTCAAATCGCCCGTGAGATTAAAGTATCAAGCCGTTCTTAAGGCCTGCGTCCACGATGCTAGAGCTTGGTCCGAGGCCTTTACGCACCTATCGTTTTCAACCCTGAGCATTAAATTCGCATTTTTAATTATTTTAACCCTACACTGTCCGCAAAATTTAAAACGCGCCCCTTAGCAATTTAAATGCACAGAGTGCAAGACCTTTTCATCGATCGACTGCCGCGCAAGTTGTTTCAACTTGAGGAACCTATCTGGAAGGTATCGCACAATATTATCAGTTATTTGTAAAACTCGTCAAAGAGAACAATGAAAATTGAGATATAACGTTGCGAGTATAAAGTACATCCCACGCGAGTAATTTACGTCAAACGAAAACAATTACGCGAGTAATTGTTAAAAACGAGCGGGTAGGCCTTTTCCAATCTCGTCTCCGAATTCCTCATGACGATTACACCTTTATCTCTGAAATTATTGGGCCGTTCCAGCGATTGCAATTACGCGAGAGATAGATTCTCCTCTTCCTCGCCGAAGCTTCCACGTGGTCGCGAGATCGAGAAGTGCAATCTACGGACTTTGTATCCGTATTACTCAGCCTTCCGTGAGCGTCCCCCCTTTTTTTTCTTCATTGCAACATATCTCGCACGAAATGTTGCAAATGAAATGCGGGAACGGCCGGAACGGCGTACCGGCCTTGAGCGTCTCTTGTTCGGTTTTCGATCGAGTACTTTGATCCGTCGACGTATCGATACACCGAGAAAATCGCCGTTGTTTCTTTTTTTTTTCCTTTCATCGCCGTAAAACACTTGTGAGTCGCCATGGTGAGTAATATCGTATTATCAACTGTGTCCGGATATCGAGTATGGTTTTGTTAGGCGGACAAAGATGTGACTAAACATGAGTCACCGCGGGGAAAAAAAGAGAACTATTTTTATTCGATTCATCTGAATTCTACAAGATAGCAACCAGGCGACCATCAACATCCTCGGTTATCAGTGTTGACGTGGCGACTGATCGTGGAATTTCAGTTTTTGATTTATTGCTGCAAAATGAGATGCAGTAAAAGAGAAAATGGCATTGAGAGATTGCAAGCAAAAGATAAGGCTCGAACAGAAGTTGTTACAAAGCCTACCTGCTGGAATTAGGTGTAAAGTAAAGATTGAAACAAGCGTATAAAGCCAGACACGCTGCAACATATCACAGAATCAACGTAGGAAAATTAATAAACGACACAACTGGCAAATTCCAGAATTTTAGAAGCTTCTAGAAGTATCTAATTCATCGCTCCATATCTTAATCCTTATTTCTTTATTTTTCCCTAATTTCTTGGACCAGTATGTCACACCACATTCCTCTATTACATAATGCCCAAGGCTATCCCATATCTCGTATTGCGAAAGACACATTTTCTTTCTTTTTCTTCTAGCTAATATTTATTATGGCGTTCACCTACGTAAATTATTGAACACCTGTGTAATTTATTGAGAATATAATTTTAATTTTCTAACATTCTTACATAATAGCTCGCGATTTTTGGCCTTAAAAAATTGGAATCATTTGTGTACACAAACGAGCGTCACCTTTATAATATTTATTATATCTTTCCAAATTATCGCATCTCAAATTCATTAAACATTGATTCCATATATGCTGCAGCGTCTTTGGTTTTATGCACTTGCTTCTTTACTTCATATTAATTTTCCTACGTCGGTTAATTATGTACTGGCGACAATAAATTTTTATTCTTGATATATCGAATCCTTCGGATCGACGAAAGCGAGGTTTGCCCTCGATTATCTATTTGAAATTTATTCATCGGTCAAAACTGTCCCGCCGTTTCACGTGGTTTCTTTCCGCGTTCCTCTTCAAGTGGAGAACGCGAAGCGCATTGCATAACTTGACGCGTTCCCGAATATAATTAGACTGCAATTTCTATGAATGATATGTCTGTCAGAAAAACGTAATCGATATTAATTTTAGCGAGATTGCACGTGTTACGTCAACAAGCGTCTACCGCCATGCCCTGCGGGCGCTCTAACATTTCACGTTGATTTATTTTTGTTCGACGTTATCGTTCATTTTCCGCAGAAATTATGGATCCGCTGACGATGACAAATCGTTTACATTTCTATTCCTCTTCGCGTATGGCAGGCACATGGCAAACATTTGCGCGGTGCGTTCACCAACTTCGACTTCCAGCAAAAGCATTTACATGTTAAACGATAAACGAACGCGTGGATGTAATTTGCATTGGTTCAGTCCAAGCAATATGCGCTATTGTAACGGACCAGACGTCTCTTTTACGCGCGTCAGCGTTTTGCACGGAAGTCCCTCTTGCCCGACAGGAAGTCGCGAAACTTAGACGGTTCAAATGCCGCGCACGATCCCGAGAACTCGAGCGATAGAAGCGAGGGGTAAACCGCTGAGGGCACGTGGTGTACAGATATGCGGCATTTTTGGGACGTTAATGGCGTTATTTGGCCTTAAGAATCTCAAAAGATAAAGACGATAAAATATAAAGAAAAATAAGATAACAAGATAAAATAATGCCCACCGCGCATTGCTATCGAATTTCAATGCGTTGGTAGACAATGGTGTACAGTACTTAATGGGATGGACAAGAATTACTTGATTATTTAAACAGAGATGCGCAGCATCTTTTTGACAATGCGACCCGAAGCGAATTAATGCACCGCACTGTATGTACGTGATTTTGGCCGGCGATCTACCGCTCGAATAGAAGCAAGGCC